GTTTCAGTTATAGGTGGTGATGCGGCTAGCTGGGAGTCCAAGAAGCAATAGACTGTAGCATTGTCCTCAACCGAAGCCGAGTACATGGCCTTGTCCGAAGCAACCAAGGAGGCCATGCATATAACGAGATTACTGAAGGACATCGGGGTAGACGTGAAAAACTTCGTCTTGAAGTGCGACAGCTTGGGGGCGCAGAAACTGGCGACCAATCCTATACATCACGCCCGGACCAAGCATATTGACGTCAGGCACCATTTCGTACGTGACGTTATCAAGGAAGGTGCGGTGGTCACCGAATATACTCCGACCGGGGATATGGCGGCAGATTTCCTCACAAAGAGTTTGCCGAGGCCAAAACACGACCATTGTATCCGGCTCTTGGGGATCGAGTCTATCGAATAATCGACCTCGGAGTCTTCCACTGCGGCTAGAGGGGAAGTGTTGGCATGACTGTCAACTATAGCGATCCGCGTATCAGGGGCCATGAGTGGCGCCCTCGGTCGTTCACTTTCGACTACTAGAAGTCTCTATCCTTCCGCCGTCGCTCCTCGCGTAATCAACACGTACCTATTTGTATCGCTCTTAATCGCATCGAATAAATACGTCTCCTTCCGAGATCCGAGCCGAGTATACGTGATTTTGATCCCGTCCCTCTAACAGAACATACATTTAAATAACGTTAAATAAACATTTCTTCGGATCGTTATTTCAAATGACAAATTAATGTAGAACAAACATTTAATTAATGTTAAATAAACGTATAGAAAATGTTTCTTCGAAACATTATTTCAAATAAGATATTAAGTGTAGAATTAACATATAATAAACGTTAAATAAACGTTAAATAAATGTTCCTTCCAAACATTATGTCAAACGAAAAATTAATATAAAACAAACATTTAATTAACGTTAAATAAACGTTTAAAAATGCTTCTTCTAAACATTATTTCAAACAAGTAATTGATGAAAAACAAACATTTCATAAACGTTAAATAAACGTTTAAAAAATGTTTCTTCTAAACATTATTTCTAATAAGTAATTGATATAAAACAAACATTTAATTAATACCAAATAAACGTTTAAAAAATGTTTCTTTGAAATATTATTTCAAACGAAAAATTATTGTACAATTAACATTTAATAAACGTTAAATAAACATTAAATAAATGTTCCTTCCAAACATTATGTCAAACGAAAAATTATTGTACAATTAACATTTAATAAACGTTAAATAAACGTTTAAAAAATGTTTCGTCTAAACATTATTTCTAATAAGTAATTGATGTAAAAGAAACATTTAATTAATATCAAATAAACGTTTAAAAAAATGTTTCTTTGAAATATTTTTTTAAACGAAAAATTAATGTACAATTAATATTTAATAAACGTTAAGTAAACGTTTAAAAAATGTTATTTTGGGAAACGCAAAATTAATTAGAAATAAACGTTTAAAAAACATTAAATAAACGTTAAATAAACATTATTTTAAAAACAAATCGTGAAATGTAAAATTAATGAAAAATAAACGTTTGAAAAAACTTTTAAAAAACATTTTCTCCCCATTGGGACAGTGAATAACTTATAGACCTGGTATTGGTGATCGGCTGACCAGATCTGGTCCAAGCAATTAAATCAGTAAAATATCATGAATCATCAGATTTAAATTAGTTGAGTTTTATTGATTTCAATTCTAATAATATAAACAGTCAATAATTTCTTTTTCCGAAAAAAATTTTATCTTTGACTGTCAAATTGCTCGGTTTTACTCGGTTTTACAATACTAAGAAAAATACATTAAAATATTTTAAAATTCTATCTAAAAATCGATAAAAATAGGAGTTTTTGATTCGAACCATTGGTTCCAAATCGGATTGAAAAAATTCGTTACATCATACCACTGTATAAATTCATATAAAAACATCATTTCATTTGGATAATGACTATCTATTACAGATGGACAAAATACATCAGTAGAATCATATTCAAGAGCTTCAATTTCTTTACAGCTTTTGACTTTTCTATACCGTATCTGATTAATCTAATCATTTAATAGTTGTGTTTCTATCAGTTCCATTTAGAAGAATAATACCTAACAATCAGCTGCTTCAAGAGTTCCTTACGCGCCATTTTAGAAGAAGTATAAATTGGGTACGTATTACGAAATTATTCGGAATGGATTTCGATCGGAATTATTCCGTTTTTTTCTACAAAACAATAGAAGTCTAAAAAATAATTACAATTCCAATCAGCATTTGGAAGATCCATATAGATCTTCGAAATAAATACGGATTCGAAATTGTTACGGTTATTACTTATATAAACGATTCTGTCAGAGAGTTACAACATCTTTGAGCTTAAGCCCAAAATCCTATACAGATCAAAATAGACTATTAAACATAGTTATTAAAATATTAACCCAATGATCTATTAACCTCTGCTATCTGATAGAATGTCTGTATCAGATCGCAGTATCAGTATTGTATCAGATTGCAGAGGTTATAGATCATTGGATAATATTTTAATAATCATGTTTAATGGCTCTATTTTGATCCGTATAGGATTTTGGATCTGAACACAAAGATGTTACTCTCTGATAAAATCGTTTATATAAGTCATAACCGTAAATCAACACAAAAAGATAGTTTGCGTCAACTTATACTACGAATTACGTTTATGACTCTATTAAAAATCATAACGACAATCTTTTTATCTTTGTACTTAGCAGGGCTGGGTAATCATTTAAAATGCCAAATATAAAATACTTAAAAAATGTATTTAAAATGTAAAATGTTTTTCGAATCCACTTTATATGTAAAATGGGTACATAAATATTTTAAATAGTTTTCGAATACAGAATGGTTTTCTCTACATACATTTTTTAATATACATTTTTTTTAAGTATTTTACATTTAGCATTTTAAATAGAATTTTAAATGGCATTTTAAATGCAAAAATACCCAGCCCTGGTACTTAAGTCTTTTATATCACGTGCCCACTCGTTTTTTTTTTAAGGAACAACAAGGAACGATAATCCTATTATTTCTTTTACTATTACAAGTAAATTTAGAATGGATGTAAGCAATTTAATTAAAGGACTGCACATCTTAGTGACAAAACAAACTGGATCTCCGGTCAAAGATAATCATTCTTTTTGGATAATGGATACGAGAGGTAAGATATTAATTTTAGATATTTACGATTAATAGATTACAATTAATTTATAAATTCACGATATGATTGAAGTAAAGTATTATGTTAATGTATTATGTATTGTGTAAATGATTTTTTTTAAATATTATATAAATATTATAAATGTATATTTGTATATTTGTAATATATTTTTGTTAGTTGGATATAATTCTACATATTCTATACATGTATTGTATTTTTTTTTAGATAATACCATTTGGACTGTACCAGATTTACCAGAAGTACGAAAATTTTTCGATTTATCTCCAGAAAATAGTTATGAGAAAGGTATCTTAATATTTTAATTTTTTTATTGTTGAGTTTTCATCTTTTTCTGTTTGCTATCATTTATATCAACAGTAAAAATTATAAAGTTTTATAATATTTATCATTAATTTTGCAGATTCAAATAGTGAAGATAATTTTGCAACATCTATAAATAAAGAAAATTTGTCTTCTGATACAATTGGAGAATATGGTAAGATTTATATAAAATTATACAAAATCCAATATATATATGAAATTTTTATTCTTTACATTATTTAAGATTTATTATTTTATTTCAATGTTTGTCTTTATTTGTAGCTACATGGAAACATGCGACAATTATGCTTCTTTTTTTATTACGGAAAGAGCATGATGATTTATTTAAAAATGGTAAAGTAAGAAATGAAACTGTATGGAAGAAGATTGCCGAATCCTTTAAAGAGAAAGGTTATACTATAAAAAATAATTTACAAAGGTGAAAAAAGATACGCCAAGTACATAAAAAAAGACTTTATATTTATTCAAAAATTAGCTATTCAAAAATAAGTAGAGATCAACATAATTGGCCAAGTATATCATTAAGAAAAAAACTTTGAAAACTCAATAAAAATCTAGTCAAAAATTATTTGTGAAGAATGGATACATTATCAGTGCAGTTACCCAACAATTACATGTAATAAACGTTTAATGCATCCACAAACATGCGTGCAGTTATGATTTAATATATTTAAAAGTAAATATATGCAGCTAAACTTTAATAGTATAGTACTTATTTTCTTATTTCATGCAAATCTTAAGTCGCATGAAACGGGCTGTAATGAAAATGATAAAGGGGATCATAGTAAAGCAGATACTTGGCATGCCCGGATCATAGATAAGAACAGTACACAGAAAAAATTATTTTTTTAATTGCAACCAAAGTATTTGGTAGACACATTATGGTTGGCGGTATGACTTTTTTACTTGTGTCAACCAAATTTATTGTAGAGAGAACAAAATTCATGAATTCGTTTAGGTTAACGTAACCAAAGTATTTGGTAGACACATTATGGTTGGCGGTATGACATTTTTTATTTGTGTCAACCAAATTTATTGTAGAGAGAACAAAATTCACAATTCGTTTAAATTAGCGCAAAATTAGGGCATAAGTCTGGGAAAAACATATTTTTTATATATAAATTCAATGGAAATGACTGTTTATAAGTAAAATACGCATAATACGATCATAAAATTGCTATTTTGGTATACACCCGCGCGGTATTCGTATATATAAGTCAATTTTTATTTCAAGATCATCTTAAATAATATCTTTAAATGATATATAATATATAGTTCTGTGATTGACTTATGATATCTTAAGTATTGAAGACGGTCTTAAATATAAGAATCGACTGTACGCATAAATACCGGCCTTAAAACTTATAAGTCAAATGCACACTCTTTTCAAATTCGCGCGCCTGACGCGTAAGCATACACGGCGCGCATGCATGGAAACAAACGCGCTCGGTTTTTGTTTCACGGGCACTTATTTGTACGGGCCGGGCGCAGCGAACGGATGACCGTTGAGGTGTTGTCGACTACGTTAGTATCGTGCCTCTGATATCATCTATTGTAGTGTGTACTCATTAGTGTTTTGTGCTTTATCTATCAAGATGGAGAAAAACATTATGTGCAACACAAACGAGGAATTCATAAAAATAAAATTGCAGGAATGGAACTTATCTAAATGGTATGATCGATTTATTGGTAAGTACCCTTGAGAAACAAATGGCTTTCGCGTGTTTTCTGTTTTTCTTCTACGTGTTTTCTTCATATACTTTCTCCGATACGTGTATGTACAATTTCGGGAGTTTAGCATTTATTCCTCGTATATATATATATATATAGAGCTGTCTTTCGAAAGTTATTTTTCTCGGGTACGCCGTCCTCTTTTAAGGCGTTAGGGAACGTCCGAGATTTTCTCGAATAATTATCGTTCATAATTATGTCGGGTATCTTTGGAAAATCTCCCTGGACATTTCCAGATACCCTAAAAAAAGAGGACGATGTCAAGGAGAAAAGACGACGAATGGTAGCCCTAAATATAATATATATTACACATTTTCGCCGGATGTATTTATGAAACTGCGAGATAGTTGAATTGCGATCAGAATTTTATCAGAATTATAATATTTGTCTTAGAATTTTCGGAAATTTTCAGAATTTCTATAATATTATAATTTTTTACAAAATTTCTTAATTTTTTTAATACGAATTTTAGAATATATATTTTTTAGAATTCAAAAAACTACATATCAAAAATTCTAAAAAAAAATAATAGACTTTCTGAATATTTGTGAGTAGTCCAATTTATATAAAAATTCTGAAAAAAATTTCCACCATGATAATCTCATCCTCATATTTTATATGTTATCTAGAGGAAGATATTGATAAAGAAACTTTTCTTACTATTAATGAGACTGAAGTGGCACAAATAATATCTACCATTGGAGGCATACGCTGTTTTCTTGAGAAGAGGAAACTATTGATAGAAAGTATAAAAGTATGACAAAAATTTTTTTAATTTTTAGAATTTTGCAAATAAAATTATATAATCTTATGTACACATATATACGGAGGTCGGTCGTATTTAAAATAACATTATCGAAAATATGTAATTTAAATAAAATTGAATAAGAATCGTTTAGTATTTATCATTTTAAATACGCGCTTCTGTAATCTATTATATCTACATATATATATATTTTTTTTTAATAAGTCATATTTCACCGATCCCTGCACATGTAAACTATAATTTTGCTACTTTATACTTTTATAGGACGACTCACACCAGACATCGGATAATGTCAATCAATCGGCAAAGTTTTCCAACAAAAATGAACAATTATGGAAACCACTTATAACAAAGACAGAGTCCCTTAATTGTGAACAAAGAAAAAATGAAGAATCATTTCGTGAAAAAAGCAAAGTTGGGTTTTCTAAATTATCCTGCAGTAATGCTTCTGTAAGTTTTTTTGTGTATAATAAAATATTGTTTTTTTGCAACAAAAAGTTAAACGCTTTCATATTTGTGGTTGACTTGTATGCTTTGAATTTTAATACTGATAATTATTTTTAAAGAAAATGGTGTCAACCACAAATATGAACATCGATTATTTAAAATATTAATAAAATATGATTAATTGAAAAAAAGAAAAATATATTTTTTAATTTTTTTTATAGACATATACAAAAGAACATCCTACATGTAAAGAAATATTAAATACAACATTTACTGATAGTTCTGATGCTGAAAGTTCGCATAGCAGTGAAAATAGTTCAAACGATTCATCAGATGTATCAAATACTAAAAAAGCGAATATAGATTTTTCATTAAACAAATCTGATAAAAAAATAGAATTGAAGAAAATTAATAACGGTCAGAAATTAAACACAACTTCACGTATTTCTCCATATTATTCTAATTCAGCAACAATTGAAAATGTGGTATGTAATGATACAATTCTAACTTGTATGAACAAAAAAAAATATATATATATGTATTAATATTTCTATTATTTTTAAAAGGACTTAAAGGAACTTTTATCGAGCTTCATAGATGGACATATTATTGTAAAATTCTATGAGAAGCATGACATACTCGATGAAGCCAAACGTAGAAAATTGACAGAACTTCTTGTTACTCAGTTTATGTTTAAAAAATCAGTAGACACTATAGAAATGTAATTATTAAGAATTTATAGAAAATATTTTTATTATGTATTTCAAAATATGTATTACAGATATACATATATTATAATGTTTGTAGAGTTCAATTATTTAATGCTGATTTTGATACTTTATCAAAAAAAATCAGGAATTTATTTCCAAATGAAAAACAGACATTTTATTATGTTCCACCAAAGTGACGTTCGGAAACGTCCGAGATTTTCTCGAATAATTATCGTTCATAATTATGTCGGGTATCTTTGGAAAATCTCCCTGGACATTTCCAGATACCCTAAAAAAAGAGGACGATGTCAAGGAGAAAAGACGACGAATGGTAGCCCTAAATATAATATATATTACACATTTTCGCCGGATGTATTTATGAAACTGCGAGATAGTTGAATTGCGATCAGAATTTTATCAGAATTATAATATTTGTCTTAGAATTTTCGGAAATTTTCAGAATTTCTATAATATTATAATTTTTTACAAAATTTCTTAATTTTTTTAATACGAATTTTAGAATATATATTTTTTAGAATTCAAAAAACTACATATCAAAAATTCTAAAAAAAAATAATAGACTTTCTGAATATTTGTGAGTAGTCCAATTTATAGGTTCACTTAGCTAAAAATGATAATAGTTATCCCTTGCACGTGACCATTCTGAACATTTAACAACATGGTGTTCCAATCAATTTCCTCTATTAAAATACTATAGTTTAGGAAAGTTAAGCGATTTCGCTCTTATAGATGCTCACGTACAACTGACAACATGGAAATCATGTAACAGTCAATTCAAAGATGTAGACACATAGTAAGGTATATTTACACAAACTTGTATATCCATACAGCACAATATGTTCAGAGAATATTCTTACAAGGTACTTTCAATATATTCTAAAAATGTTTGTAAAGAATATTCTTAAGATGGTTCTAAGAATGTTCTGAATGATACTAGAATATTATTCGTCTAGTTCTCAGAATACATACACATATATATATATTCTAACAACATTAAATAAATATTCTTAGAACATTTTATTTCATGCGTGACTGGAACAATAATTTGTATACTAAACACATTTAAAGGACGCCTTTAGGACGTTTTCTAAACATCTTTAGAATGTTCCTTGGAACATTATGGTACTATATGAGAATACTGGTACTTTTGAGAATATTCCTATACATTCTACGAACTTCTCATACGCAAACTCTCTCTCTCTCTCTCTCTCTCTCTCTTGTTTAAAATCAAAGTAACGTTGGTGCAATCGGACCTAACCCACGTAATATAATAGCATGGAAGGAAACCACAAAAATGATGACTTTATATTCCTTGTCGTTTATCAAATGTTAAACAAGGATAAACGATGTTCGCGAGCATTAAGTGGAACGCAGTCAGAGAGTCGTCAATTTGACACGTGACTCGATTGCTCGCTGATTGGCTCAATACGCATGGCGCTCTTGAAAATGTTAGACATAAACGAATCGTACATAAGTCGCGTTCAGCAGACTGAATAGTTTTTCAATGATTTTATGATTCTTCACTGAGATAGAACTATTCCTTTAGATTTAAAAGTATAATCCAATTACAGCGAGACGAATCATAAATAAATGGTTGCAAAACTGTTGAGTCTGCTGAACGCAGTCATAGCTTGTGCGGACAACCGATTTTGCAGATTTTAACCTCGAGGCTCGAAATTTGTGCTCAGTTATAAAGTTGATTATTAATTGTATGTGATATAGATGTGTGATATAGAACTGATATTTTTATAAAAATTTTTATAATATATTTTTCATAGCTACGAAATAGGTAAGTATAAATTTATATATAATTTAGGTAATTATACACAGTTATTAGCTTTGAGCACCTCAAAAATTAAAATTAGGCTTATTCGATGCGTTTTTTCATCAAAACGAAAGAATCTGGTAGAAATAAGCGTCGTTCTGCCACACGAACTGAAATATTAAGCGTTAAAGTTAATGATTAGTATTGAGGTTAGGAAATGTATCGCAAAAGAGTATCACAGATGAAATAATTTATGTATTTATTTATACAGGCTATATTTAAATATACATTTTTAGTACTACCAGTATTGAAAATATACTCAATTTATATTATATATAGGCTGTGTTCTAACATTCACTGTCAGTGAAAATTTTTAAAATCTGAGGATCGAAGTACTGGAAATAATTTATATTATACTAATAATGTATATATAATGCATATTATAGATTTTCGTTTTAATGTGTATACTTTTTTACTAGGTTTCAGATCTTCCATTAAACACAGCATTTACTAAGAGGGAAGTGCATGTAAGGTATATAAGGTGTGGCTTTTATTGCAATAATTATTTCTTCTATTTAATTAATGTGATTATGTCGAAGAGATCTCGATCTGGTTTTTATAAAAAAATAAATATAGAATTGAATAAAAATTTAGCTTTACTCTCTCAAGAATGTATATGTGAAGAGAGAGATGATGTAATAAATAATATAGTAAGTACAAAAGATGTTGCTGAATCTAGACTAAAGTCATCTACACCTAAATTTGTATCAAAATCAGATTATATTGACGACGATTTGAATAGAGATATACTAGAGGATAATTTGGATTTTGTTGATATAAGTGATTCATTGAACAAACAATTAGAAAATAAAAATGACCTGCTTCAAATTCAGGTTCATCTTTTACAATTAATTTAAAAAACTGGGCACTGAAACACAAAATTGATCATTTAGCTCTGTCTGATCTTTTAAAATTATTAAAAGCAAGTTACATTGAATCAAATGAATTGCCTACAGACGCTAGAGCTCTTTTATCTATTCCTAGAAGTTTAGACATTCAAAACATAGAGTCAGGCACATATTACCATTTTAGTCTTTCTGCTGCAATAAAAAAACTTTACAAAGATGATGGTTTAAATATGATTGAAGTATTGATAAATATTGATGGTCTACCTTTGAGTAAAAGTTCAAGTAGCCAGATATATCCCATATTATGTAGTTTATATTCAAATCCTACAGAGGTAACCGTTGTAGGAATATATCATGGTTATGAAAAGCCAGCAAACGCTAATGAATTCTTAATACAGTTTGTTAATGAAGCAATCGATTTTACAGTAAACGGTATTAGTATTAATGGTAACATAAAACAATTTAGAATTAAAGGATTTATATATGATGCTCCTGCCAAATCTTTTATTTGTTACATAAAGGGCCATACAGGTTTTTATTCCTGTACAAAATGTTTTCAAAAAGGAACGTATTTGAAAGGTCGAACTTGTTTTCCTAAAATTAATTGTACAAAAAGAACAGATCAAAATTTCAAAAATAAAAACCAGATTCAACATCATTCTGGTACTTTCATAATAGAAAGAATTCCAGGAATTAATATGATTTCTTGTGTGCCCTTAGAATATACCTCATTTGTTTAGGTGTCATGAAAAAATTGTTGATGATGTGGATTTTTGGAAAGCCACATATGAAATTAAAATCTTCAAAAGTTAATGAGATTAACAGACAATTACTATTAATAGCTGAATGTATACCAAAGGAATTCATTCGAAAATCGCGTTCTTTAAATGAAATCAAGAGATGGAAGGCAACTAAATTTAGATTCTTTTTACTATATGCAGGACCAGTTGTTTTAAAAGAAAACATTGAAAAAGACAGATATATAAATTTTCTTTGCCTTCACATTGCAGTCACAATTTTTTCAAACGAAGAGTACATCCAGAAATATGCAGACTACGCGCATTTATTACTTACATATTTTGTTCAGAATTTTGGTAAATTATACGGAAAAGAAAATATATCTCATAACGTACATGGTTTAATTCATGTATATGATGACATACAAATTTTTGGAAACTTTAGTAGATATAGCGCATTTCCATTTGAAAGTTTTCTTCAAAGTTTGAAGAAATTACCTAGAAAACATGAGAAACCGTTACAACAAATTGTAAAACGATAAAACTTGATCAGATATTTTATTCAAAAGAGCAGGTCAATAAAGAAAATTTTTCGCATAAGCAAGAACATTTTGAAGGTCCAGTTCCTAATCAAAATTATATTCAGTTTAAAAAACTTATCCTTGAAAAAAAAAAAAAGTTTCTATTTAATATTGGAAGTCTTTCCGATTCATTTTGTTATTTAACAAATGGAAATATCATGAAAATAGAAAATATTAGTAAAGAAGGATATTTACGTGTATGGAAGAATATTTCTCGAGTCAAATAATTTATTTCATCATCCTTGCGACTCAAGTATTTTAAATATATACAGGGTGTTTCCAAATTAAATGGCAAAACTTCGGGAGCGTGTAGAGGAGTAAAAAACTAAGAAAAAAAGTCCTATAGACATATGCTCGTTTTTGCTCCGTTTCAGAGAAATCGAAAAAAAATGTTTACATTTCTTGCCATATCTAGCACCGACATATTTGATTACATTTTCCACTTTCTGTTATGAATTTGTCAGTCGCTCTTTGAAAGCCTTTAACAGTAGATGAATTTTGTCTTTTGCAATATGCCGCGTACGTATTCTAATAGTGAATATGCTGATATGGTTTTTGTATACGGTTTCTGCAACGGTAATGCTTTAAAGGCGGTGCGAGAATATGCACGACGATTTCCAAACAGAAGAGTGCCAAACCGAAGAGTGTTTATGTTGACATTTAATAGATTGCGAGAGACTGGATCATTTTCAATTCGACAAGAAAACAACCGATTTCAAGCAGCGTTACGAAGAGATTTGCAGGCAGGGAATCGTATTTTACAACATTTTGACAATCATCCTGAGACCAGCGTTCGGAATGCGTCGGCTGTATTGGGAGTGTCACCACAAACAATTTGGCGAACTGTAAAAGGAGATAATCGCTATCCCTACCACATTCAAAAAGTGCAAAATTTA